TAACACATATTATAAGGTTTGCAATGCAATGGCAAACTTTTTTGGGGGGGAACTAAGTTTTTAATCTTTTTTTTGTTGTTGTTGATTTGGCAACATCTCATAAAGGATTCAGAAAGCAAATTTTGAAGGATAAAGGAAGTTTAGTTATGCTAAAGGCCTGTGTCATTTCTTTTCCTCTGCTTCCCTGAAGAGACACTCTTGTTTTATGTCCTGCTTCCTTTGCGGCAAACCAACTCTCAGGGGACTGGTTTTTATTTCTTCTTGCTTCCTTTTTCTTATAAGGCAGCTTTTACAGATTGATATCTTTGATCATGTAGTAAAAATGCCATTAGAATCAACTGAGAAACATGTATTTATAATAATTTCCTTGTATGCCTATTTATAATAAATTCTCTGGTAGATCTGATGCAAAAAGCAGTGTCATTTCATAAAGCCACAGCACCATGGCCGTGCAAACCATTCTCAGCCAAGATCAAGTTATGCATGTAAATAAACCCCAAGTTCACATCTGATTAGAACAGATATGTGGGAGGTGTGAACAGGACTGACCAGATGCTAGACCATATGATAAACACTGAGGTTCATGGCATCGTATAAAACCAGGCATTTATTTGGTGCAGCTGGCCACGCATAATCTTCTCCTAATTTATAAGGCTGGAGCATCTGGTCCATTGCTGTCATTCTAACAGCCTTTTTGGAGCCCTGTTCTTGAATCTCTCATAGTTAAATACTGCAGTTTTGTGTGCTGGTAGAACAGGAAGCTAAAACCACTTACAGCAAGAGATAAGCTGTTACTCCATCAGACTGATAAGGTGGTATTTAGTCATGGTCATGAGAAGAACAGTAGGGACTACTGGCATGAGCTGCACATTGAATGGCAGACTGACAAAGATCAATAACTGAATTTCTATAAGAGGTAATCTTTATTTCTCATCAGCTGAGTCCTCAGTCACGATACGGGGATTTGGCAAGCTGAAGCTGTTGCAACAGACTGTGCTTGTGATTGTGGACATTCCCCAGTGACACAGCTAGCAAGGTCTAAGAGGTATAGCTTGCACAAGTCCTGTTATACTGTTAGTTATAGTTAGTTATACTGCTTAGCCTTTCCCACCTCATATCGCAGCACCAGAAAACAGAATTTATTTCTCCCTTTCCTGAAACATAAGCTAGTATATGACACTTTGTTAGAAACTGCCTGATTTATAAGGAACCAAAAAACAAGGGGTGAGAGTTCTCATTTGGCCTTCCAAAGAAATAGCAGATATCCTTAAATGTCAGTGGATATAATCTCATTACCTTTAGGATATAATCTCATTAGCTTTAGGCGTGTTTGTGCTGGGAGATTGATCCTGCAAAGATCTCAGGAGTCCCTAACTGGCTCACAGCAGAGGTGAGGCTGGGAGGGGACCAGAACGTGCACTGCTCGAGCAGCCCAGCAGCGAGGGCCAGCAACACAAAATAAAGGTGTCCTACACTGAGGTGTCTGTGCTCCCAGCTGTGGAGAGCTCCACAGCACACAGGCTCCATGCGTCCATGAGGAAGAGTTGAAGAGAAGGGAAAGGAAGGCTAAAGCTCTTGTTTTCCAGGTATTTTCAAACTGACTTGCCTACAAGAAAGCCCTTACTCGAGGTTGAGGGGAGGGCCTCTTCCTTCACTCCAACTTCCCAGAGACATAAACAGCAAGGCAGCTTGCAGGGTAAGGCACTGAGGAAATTGATTTTAAGAACTAAAACTTTACCAATGGTATCTAGATGCTGTGGGTGCAGATCAGTCTGCTGGGACCTGCCACAGCAAAATTCATCTGCTTGCACAAGCCCCATGTCCAGTGTCTGCAACAGAGCCGTTCTCATTGCTCATGGAGAAAAATACAGCACCAATCATTTTACCAGTCCTGTCCCCAGTAAAATTATGTTTCAGGGCAGAGCTGAAAGGAAATTTGCATTTCAAATGGAAAGAGAAAATTGGTTTTTACAGAACATGTGGGGCTGGTAATAATAAATCATGGCACTGTCACCATGGCAGTGGTTCCTGCAACTCTAGCACTGCTTTCTGTAAGTGTGCAGTGTCACGAAGGAAGCGAAATCTGGTTAGCAAACACAGTGCAAGAACTCTTCAGAGCATTTATTTGTTTTCCCAGTGTGAGTGCAGTGCATTTATTGTGACTTTATCAAGTTAAACTGTCAAGTTTCCAGCTTCTTTGAAGACCTGAAACATGAGAACTGGTGTATTTCATACCCCTAAACAATTTCATGCTCTGCATCTGACGTAAGTAGAGTATTTGGCATTGTTGGCGACTCTTCCCTGACCAGAGCTAGTAGATGTTACTGTAATAAAACTTTACATTTGTTTAACAATGACAAAATGAGCTACACTAAAGAAAGAAGAAACTTTGAGAAAAAGTTTGAATTACTGCAAACACTTTTGGGGGATTGTGATAACCCAAGAGTGGGCAAAGGTACCATCACTTGAAGACAAGATGGGCTGTTTCTTAATAGACTGCCTGGATGATTTTGTTCTGGTCTTGTCCAGCACAGTAGAGGGAATAGGGCAGTGTGTGCTCATCCAGACACTGGATATTGCAGTTCTTGCAGTCTATAACCATCTGTTAGAATCTGAAAATTGTCGTGGCACTAAGTACTGTGCAATTTTTTGGTAATCTCTTTTCCCAATGAAACCTTTACATTAAATAAAAAAGGCAAGGCAAAACAACCAGAAGAAAAAGAGAGGAGTGAAAAGGGAAGAGTCATGAAGGAAATCTGATTTTACAGACTAGGTGTGTAGAAGCGGCTAGATGCCTGCAAATCTAATCATTGAAATATACTGTATGTTATAATGAAATGAAGGAAATATTTATGCCTATCCTCACTTGATAAAGTGTGACCAGCACTCACCTAGTCATAGCCTCCTTTCTAGTGAGAGCTGCCCCGAGATCCTGATGCTGCTTTGAAGACTATTGCCCACAGTGAAGTATTATGGACAGAATAAGAAAATGCTTTGGATGTGGTTTCAGTGATCTCAAGGCCTGCCACTCAAACTGATTTTTATACTACATTTATACTACATTATAAACCACATTTTTATATACACACACACAATGCATTATATAAGTATTTAGATTCTCATTTTTTACAGATCTTAAAGAATTGGAAAAAGAAATTTCCCCTCTGTATTCTGTGGCACCTTAGCGGTGACCCAACCCTTGATCAAGAAATCATTTCCTTTGTGAGATGGAGACTAGTAGGAAGCAGATTATTAGAAACCGCAGATACGAAAAGAGTATACAGTGAATGCTGAATGAATGCTGACCACTAAAGTCTTGGTGTCTGTCACTGACTGAAAGAGAGGATCCTTTCTGTTTCCATTTAATGAACTCCTGCATAATCACATACTAGGTTCACTACCAGAAGCAGTTATGTCAAGAGCCCTACCATGACATTATAAACGTGGGGTATGCTATTGGATTGCCCAGTTCTTATTTTAAACAAAGGACACTAGTTTCTATTAAAAACATATTTTAATTTCAAGGTTTTAAATGGTGAAATGCTAGAAAAAGCTTTAAGGATATATTTTTTACAAGTGTTTTTTGCTTTTTTTTATTAAAATGCAAGGCTATTTGCTTTGAACTTCCAAATGAATGCCATTTTAAATTGTAATATAGAAAATACAAATAATATTTGTGTTTCGTGTAGCCTATAAAGATTGTGATGAATCAGATCATTTAGTGAGGTAAAGGTTAATTAAAAAAAAGAAAAAATGAAATATGTATTCCAGCCATGTCCTAATCCACAGATGTCCACTCACATTTGGATCCATGATGGAAAGCATCTTCCACTGTTATCTCTATGGGAAGAGAAAGAGAATTGCCAGTGAAGTGCATATTTAAACTGCATGGTACTAAGTTCAATTGCAAACGTAATGTATGACATCCTACTGTACCCCTCCTATATTTCTACTGTTTTTCAACAGCACAGCTCTAATAAGAGTTTGCAAGATTTTTCAGTGCTAAGTAGCATTTCAGCAGTGCAAGGGAATTACTTCAATCCCAACTGCCTTCTTAGCATGAATGCACTAACTCTCAAGAAGGACCGACTTGTGTCACGTTATGAAGAAAAAGAGTGTTGGAGCTCTGGGCTGAAGGCAGAAGCCCAGATTCAAACTTTGGTGCTTTTCCACTTTAGCCCATTTGGCTAAAAAAGACCCAAATCAAAGCTTTCTGAGGCTGACAGCACAGAAGTCACCTTCGCCTTAGGTCTTTGTATACTCTGTGCTTTGGCAACTGCAAAGCAAGATTAATAGTAAATCTCTCTTTCTCTTGGGTTTATGGTATATCAAGACAGTGTGGTGACTGAGACAGGTAAATGGTCCTTTTAGATTATCTAGTTGATCTAATTCTTGTCTTTCAGCTCGTAGAAACTCATAAAACTTAATAACTGATTTATATCTAATTACATACTTTACACTCAAAGAATGGCCATGAGGGGAAGATGGAAGTGATAACTGCTGCTGTTGAAATAAATTCACCAGGTAAATCCCTGAAGAAAAATACAGGGCTTTCAGCAGAATTACATGTTAACAAAGTTGGAGTTCACTCATTTTCTTAGTTAATTATTACTTGACAGCAATAAAAATTGATGAAAGCAATCTTATGTATAGCAGGTTGATGAAAGGGTAAAGGGAGTCATTTCTGATCAATTTATACAGGGGATTTCCTCAGGTACTTACTGTAACAGTGTAAGCACTTTGCCAGCATGCAAATAATTAGCTACACCAAACTTCTTATTTTCTTTATCATGTCTTCCTTATCTGATGTGAAACTAGCTGAGCTGATATAAAAACTCTGGCTAATATTATTCGTATCTCTCAGAAAACAGCAGTTTAAATATATATTTTTTTCTTCTTCCTTTTGGACAATGTCTCCCTTTGATGAGGGGATGGCTCTTGTCCGCCAGCACCCCCAGAAGCTCTGTGGGTGACTCACCTGCCGTGGTGGTTGCTCCAGGTCACAGCAGCACCGTGCAGTGCCGCCGGCTGTACGCACTACTGCGGGACAGCAGCGGCACGTAAGTTTTTGCCCTGATGCAGTAGCTGACGCCAGGCCTCAAATCTTCTATTGTAATGACCTTGTCTGCTCCTTCATAAACCAGGGTGCTGTGTTTCTTCAAACAGGATGGAAGAAAAACAGCCAGTCAAGAACATCGCCCTAGCAAGAACATCAATGGCTACAGTTTGGTATGGCCATAGGATGCTGAACAGCTCAAGAAGTTGCATGAAGTCCAAATAAATAACATTTTCTTTTGTAAAAAAAAAAAAAAAAAAAAAGCCCAAGCAATCCTCCTCCTGGTCCATCTAGTTTAATTAGGCCTGAGAAGATAAAATACTATATTGTTGGGAAAACATAAGGAAGGGAGGAATTACAGCTTCATTCAGGCAGATTCAATTTCTGAAAAATAAGTCTAGCTGTTTTCAATATTTACACAGTCACTGATACCCTCACAATCCTGGAGAGTTGTTTCGCTGTAAAACTGAAGGGGATGCCCACACAATACAGGCTTCAGTTTTCCAAGGGTGAAGGCTCTGTATTTGAATGTTCACTTACCTCATCCAACAAATTGTTAATTATGAAGACTTGATATAGGAGATCATAATAATTAGTCATTGGTATGCTGCTGCCTGTCTTCCTTTTATAAGGGGAACGTGGAGCCTGGAGCTTTAGAATTATGGATTTCTTTCTGCGAACCACATTTACCGATGGAGGTCCTATCATAGCTGAAGAAATAAGCGAAGTTGTGAGTATGATTATAATGGTTGTTTAACACTTCACAGAGCAGAATTTAAATCTGTTTAACCATGTAATGTTAGTGTTACCAACTGGGGCTGATGATGATTTAAGCTTGAAATACCACTTTGTAAATTCTTACTTTGCAGTAGTTATTGCTTGGGATATTTTGGGGCTGACGTTTCCTGGGTTTTAATTTTTACCTTCGAGCCAACATTTCTAAACTCTGTCAGAGCTCCATGGTGCTGACTGCAGGTTACTCAAGTAAAATGCTTTGTATTTGTTGGCTATTTTTTTCCTGTTTTTCTGTGTGCGTGCACTGTATGAAACAGATATTTGAACTATTTTGGTTATGTGAAGGGCAACATCTTAAATCCTTCATTTCAAAGGTTTTTCAAGCTGCTTGACTACGAGTGGCTGAGGATTGAAGCTAGTCCCTGCAGCCCCCAAAGACACAGCAAAGCAAAGATGCTCTGCTCCTCGCAGCTCTCTAGGAGAAGGATGCCGTGCAGGGTATGCTGCTATCGCTTTTTGATCAGAGTTTATGGATTTGTCTGTACAAAGTACTCGAATTTGTTTGCAGCTCAGGGCTATGAAATGAGCTACACTGACTCATGCAACACTTACTATACATTGACTACTGAGGGAGAACTACTTAATACGTAGGCAACTTAGTGGTAGGGACGCCTAAACCATTCAGTATTTTTACAGTCCTCTAATTTATCCTGTACCAAGAGATACTGTTCTTGAAGGTCTTTTCCAACCATAATAATACTATGATTCTATGAGATTATAATAGCTGTACTGGCTAAAGCTTTGCACATGGCTCTTCTAGTTTACTGAGATCAGGAAAAAACATAAACATTAGAAGATTGCTGGTTACACATGTCTCTGCTTTCTTCGCCCTTTTTCCAGCCACATAGAGTTTTTCTATCTTTTTCCACCTCGTGTCCAATCCTTCCAACAGCTCTGAAAACTGCTGAAAATATCCTATATAGTCCCCTGCCTTGAGGATTCCTAATTACAGGTAAGTAATTATCTGTTACAGATAAGTAACTACTTATCTATAATTGGTTGGCATTCAAAGATTGTCATAACACTTCACCTAAGGAGTACTGGTTCATGACTTCTTTGTGTAAAGCTTTATTGCTGAAAAGAGATTACTCGTGATTGCAGAACGCAAGCAAAAATGTTATATTCCATGCCACAAAAAAAAAAAAAAAAAAAAAAAAAAAAAAAAACTAATTACTTTTCAAACAGCCCCATATGTTTGTACTTACTTTCTTGCCATGGAGTGAATCTGCAGCTGAGATTCCAGTCAGAGTGGACTCCAGCTGAAGCAGCTTTTACTCTGCCATAATAAGGCTCTTGGATGTTTGAAGTCTCATTCGTTAGGTCACAAAAATGCTTTTGAATCCCCCAGCAGTCCTCTTTGTTCTGCCACGTGCGCTGCCCATACCTGTGGAGAAAGAGGAGGAAAGGTGCAAGTGTTAGTCACCTCCAGCTGGGTCTGTACAGCAGTTGAATGAGCTGTAGCAGCCACAGTTCTGCCATGGAAAATAAATTTCCTTCAATTTGTTGGGAGGGCAGATTGATTTCCAGGCTCTTTAGGAGTTACATTCACCACTCAGGAGAGGTAGATGAGCTTTGGTTTACCAGACCTACTTAATGCCAGATAGAGCAGCTGTTTCAGCCAGTTAATTCCTCCAAGGCAAAGGTGGTTTCAAGGGTTTATTGTCAGAGGTGCTGATCAAGGTGTGCAAAGGCAGGAGTTTTTGAAAGTTTTTACTGGTCTCTCAGAGTTGTTTCCTAGTAAGGTCTTAGGTTGTCACTAAGGTTTCCTGGGTCATTTGCACTCGATCAGCTGCAGCTGATGGAGTTGGCCTCCTTCAAGCAGAGCTTTGGTGCAGCTGACCTTCAGAGGTCTCTTCCAAGCTAAATTTTCCTGTAATTCTTCTGTGCCATGAGGGTGCACAGCATGTTGATGGAGATGCTGGTGATCTTCAGGCAGTTAGACTGCGTTTTATGGGCTATTAATAAGAGAACACTGTGAGCAAAACTAAGCAAGGGTATCCCCAGCCTAAGGAGACAGTAGCTTTTTGTAACTTGAGAAACCCTATGACTTATAAACGGGGGCGGATCAGGACCACACGGGAGGCTGGAGTTCCCCTGGGTACTTACACTTTATACTGCACGAAGTAGAGAGTGTCTCGTGTCTCGCCGGCCCTCCCGGGCAGCCAGCTCAAAGTGTTGTGGAAGTTTAACGAACGAAACTCGACCTGCCGCGGTTTAATCGACTCTTGCAGGTCTTGACTTTCCGAAACTAGAATTGCTGCAAACAACGAGGGATAAGAGTGTGTTTGTCACAGACATGCTGTTTCTACGTTCAGATAGCACATTTGGTTTCAGACTAGCAGACTTCAAGAAAAATAGATGTGCTGGATCTCCTGTTTGAAACTTTCCAAGTTGCTGTGACCAGATTTGGCAGTTACAGAATACATCAAGTACTATGAAAAGGACATTCTTATGGCTTTTTTTTTTTCCTTTAATATTTTTCCTGTGAAAGAGGGCTTACGGCTGTCTTCAGAAACAACCCTTCAGATCAATTCACAGAGCCTGCAGGAAGCAGCTACATCAGAAGTTTAAGTTAAATGCTCTTTCCTCCGCATATCTCAGCTTTAACCTTCAGGAGTTATAGCTGTTTTTCACGGGAAAGTTCTCATGCCTCTAAGCTGCCTGTTATGGGATCAATTACCATAGTTCTGTTTACTGCCTCTTGCTAAGTGCAAAATAACCTGAGGTTCATTGCTTTTTCCATCTATGCTGCTCGAAAAAGTTTTCAAACTGAGGCCATCACAGAGGAGAGAATCAGTTCACAACCTCTCTGAAATACCCAGGTCCTGAAAACACCCCGAGAGGATGCAGTGACCCAGATGACTCTATATTACTGCAGCTCTTTCCCCAGCAGTGTCACCTGTTGATACTAACCTGTTACTAATATTACCGGCTATTGAGATAAGACTGGTAATACAGCTAAAAATAAATGTAGTGGGCAACGTGTTTGTTTTAACGTCTGTTCAGAAACTTGAAAGACAGCCAAGCAGACCAACCTGGAAAGGACAGAGCTTTTGAAATCCACCAAAATATCCCAGGATTTTTTGACTCGTCTACAGTCATTAACAGACCAAGCATCCCCTTCCCCACATTGGAAGAAAATGAAAAGCTTTTACTTACTAGTTGTCTCTTCTTGAAGCAGGTGCATCAATAAGCAGAGGAGGGACACCGTGATCCCCCTCATGTTAGGAAAGCAGCATCGTAACTGAGGATCATCTCTCTTCCTCTTGGGCTTGTCTTGTAAGGAAGTAATTGTTTAAACATGCCAGAATTCCCCTTTTTCTTTTTTTTTTAAAGAAGATATCCAAAATCCCCTTTTTGGCTTTATTTTAACCTAGCAGAAAATATTTGAGTTGCTCTAAATTAAACATAAGTGATTGTTTGTACTTGGCAGCTGTGGTCACTCACACCTGGGTTTGGAATTAATTCGGAAGCAAACCAACACACAAAAAAAGATCCTTTTCTAGGCTCTAATTTTCAAAGGATCTGGACCTGGCAGTATAGCTTTTCCCCAGGAATTTGACAAGTCTATCTCCTTTGGAGTTTGCTTGCTAAGTGCTTTTTTTGTTGTTGTTTTAGCTTGCTACTCTCTCAGAGCTGAAGAATATAAAGAATCTCACTTTAATAGCGTAGAACCCCTACCTTGGGACGCAGGCTGCTTTGGAGGCCCCGTCTTTGGGCGCAGCACCGAGTGCTGTTTTCAGGAGCGCTCACGGCAGGACTTGGCCGGGGATGGGGATGGAGGTGGGATTCCCGGGCACGCTGAGGGCGAGCATCCCCCTCGTGCCCAGCAGCACCAGGAGCCAGAGCGCTGCTCCGTGTCGGACTTTGGACTGCCAGGAGTCACATGCTCTGTCTGCTGGGATGTGCCACAGAGCTGTGAAAATACACTCGGGAATGGGTGTCACTGGCAAATCCGGTCCCTGTGCCCACGTGCGCTGCAGCCCGGGGCCAGTGGGTGCCCGGGCACAGCCGTCAGAGCCGTCTCCACCAGCCAAGAGCTGCCAACGCCGCTCAGATCCTCGGCTGTAGAAAAGCCCCAAAGCCGGGTGGTGGCGGCGACCTCTTCGGCGCTGGAAGCGGTCAGGAGATGCCTTCCCTCCTCCTGCACTTACCCGGCTCCCATCCCTTGCCGCCCGCTCTCCTCTCGAAAGCTCTTCACCACAACCAAGCCCAATTTGGGGGGATACAGCAGAGCACTATTGAATGGTGCCCACCACTGCAAGAGCTACCTGTCTGTAGGAACGTGTATTTCTGCTTGCAGAAACAGGAATTTGCCCAATAACCATCCTTGCCTTAGGAGAAAGGGGAAGGAAAGCACCTGTCAGCACAATAAAAAAGTGCAAGTTCTGGTTGAAACTCATGTCCTTTCTCATTAAAAGTGCTCAGTTATACTAGGCAAACAGGAAAATAAATTAATCAAGGAACTGGGCTTATATAAACTTCAGCAGTATTTACTGGGCATGGGCTTTTTGGCTCAGCTGATCTAGTATACGTTGTTATTCAAGGCATTTGCAACAGCCGTATTAAAACTGTAGATGTCTGACTTCTTTAAAAATTAACTACTTAGCCCACTGTAGGGGATTATAGAACAGGGAAGAAATGCACAAAAGAAGAAAAAACATAAATCAAGGCAGAAGGTAAAAAGGCATCTCTGCCATTAGTGCCTGGAAATTTTTTTATCTGTCCACTTCCCAGACACATTTTTCAAAACCCCGTGACCTTTAAGCAGTTCCCCACACCAAATGCAATTAGCATTTCATCATCTCCTCTGAGCTCAAGTGCGGGAATGAGGAACGTGTCTAAACCAACGAGTAGCCCGAAATGCCACCGGGGCTTAGTCACGCTCGCTGCGGCTGCGCGGCGGCCTGCGGAAGGGGCAGCCCGGCCCCGCGCGGCGCCCGCGCTCTCCGCTCCGCTGCCTGGAGCCTTCGGCGGCGCCGCTTCCCGCATCTCAAGGGCGCTGTGTTTTGTGGCCACACGGGGAGAGAACTGCCCGCTCCCTTGGGCAGCCGGGTTTCCTGTGCGCTCTGATAGCGCCTTATCTGCAGGCAGCATGGCAGGCTGGAGTAGTTGTAACTCTTGCCAAACTTGCTAATTATTCAAACATTTGCTTATCCAGCAGCATCTTTACCACATTTTTGCCCAGTCATGTTTCTCGAGTGCGTTGTGGTTGGTATCATAAAAATAGCTATATTCAAACAATACCAGCTGTATGCACACATGCACACATACATGCACATCTGTATGTACAGATATGTACATACATACAAATTCAGGACATACATCCTGAATTTAACAAACTATATATATGGCAAATTTTGTAAAAAAATAAGGAGGATGAGTCCAATGCACAGGCTAATATGTACTGAAATACTGTGTATTTTAAATAAATGTGAACATTTAAAAAGCAATTAAAAAAAAAAGGTCCAAACTTTTGTGAAATAATGACTGAAATAGTAGTGCAGATGATCCAACAGAAAGCTCAGTCCTCTCTGACATCCCACAGGAATATACGCAGAACTGTGGACATGAGAAATTTTTCTTTTCCTGGAATAAAAGCCTATTTAAATGCTGAGAAAACAGAGTTCATTCTCTTGAGGTTTGCATATTGCTACACGGAGGTAAACGTCAAGTACAGTCAGGCTGGAAGCTGCCTGACTCATTTGTTTTGTTAGCACCATCTTTATTTTATTTTTGTTTTTTTCTCTTGGAGCAAATTGTTTCTGATCCAGAAGTGCACTAAAGCTAACCCTGGTGCTCCTGTTGCCTTTCCAGGATGTGGTTCTCTGGTATTTATTGCAGGTGTGTGGGCAGGTCTCACGTGTACGCATGACGCAGGTGTGGGATGGGAGGAAACTCCACAAGCGGGATTCACAGACCCTACTTCTAGTAACTGCCAGAGGCAGTTTCTCTAAGGGTCTTTCCCATGTTTAGTGTTTTACCGGGGTTGAATGGACAATAAAAAAGCAGCAGTTCAGGTTATTTGGGCCCCAAATGGTGTTGTTGATTGTAGCAGAGTTTTTCTGTCTTTTACCCTTCTAAACAACCAGCACAGATTCATAAAAAAAAAAAAAAAAATGCTGGATGAGGGCTCTGGAGAGCGCCTAGTCCAACCTAACGCTCAAAGCAGGGCTAACTGCAGTATTATCCCTACTAACCACTTTAATTTTGAAGTGGTTTTCACTTACATCTCATTGGGATTCCCCTGCTGCTACTGAACAGTTGCTTTTTGTCTTTTGATTATTTACCTCCAGGCAAAGTCTGCCTCTGGCTTTTCTCTGCCCCCTTCCTCTCCTTTTTATGTAGATCACAACCGCAATAGATCCAACCCCTTGCCCCATCCCAAGACATCTCCTCTCCCGACTGAGCAAATCCAGCTCCCTCAGTTCTTCCCGTACAGCATACGTGCCGCCCTTTCCGATCTTAGTGCTGTGACCATGAATCACTACTTACAAGAAAAAAAAAATCAAGCAATGGGAACGATTGCTTTTTTTTTTTTTTTTTGGTGTTCAGTGAAGGTGACGAGACTTTGCACCGCAAGAGCTGTTACAGGGAAGCTGCTAAGGAAGCGAGACTGACTTTCACTGTACAGCGTGGGCATTCACTGCTTCCTGCCTGCAGGTGTGAACAGCTCAGGGGCGAGAGGCTCTGCAAAACATGTTACAAATCACCATGAGAAACCGAATTGCCCCAAGACACCAGTAGCCAACACTAGTGCTCATTAGGAACTGTGGATAACGTCCAAAAGAAAAATTTCTCAAAGGATTTTATTTAAATAATGACTTTCTTTAAAACTGCTAGTCTGTTCTCATTTGAAAAGCTATATGACTTTTTTCTACTGCTAGGGATTGGAATAGTTACCCAGAGAATACTTGTTTTCCTTTAAGCTTTGGCTCCCTCACTGAATCATCTGCAGATTAAACCCCACCAGATGAGAGGCATGTGGGATTAATATTCCCTAGCTTCTCTGGTTTAGCTGATTTTAGCAGTGTAGGAAAGACGCCAGTCACTTGCTTGAGCAGTGTGTAAACACGGATAAGCCCAACACGAATGCTACTCATGTTTCCTTGGTAAGGAAAGGGGGTCTCAGTGCCTGGTGGCACGAATGCTTGTTCTGCTCGATACCCGGGCACCAGCAGCCGCCCAAAGGATGGCCAGCGTGAGCAGGACGTGACCCATGGGCTTGCTCTCTGCAGGCCGCTTGCGGGGTGCTGCGTCACTTATGCGGCGTCCATGCCCGGGTCGCAGACCGCGCTGCTCTGACTCACGGCACAGCGCACAGGAGGGACCCCCACAGCGCACAGGAGGGAGCCCCATGGGAGGGCGGGAGGCGCCGCTGCGGGAGACGTGGGAGGAACGGCCACGGCTGCGCCCGCATCGCCAGTGAGGCCTGCGCGACGCTCCGCTGGCCACCTCGGATATCCGAGCAGGGAGATTCGGATTTCCCGGCCAGAGGGAGGGAGCCCAGCGGGCAGCCACCTTCCTGGGGCAAGGACTGGGTGCTTCCGCTGCACCCTCCTCTCTGGGCAGGGGAGGGAGAGCCTGCGGTGCTGCCTGCGCCGCCGCCGCCTCTCACAGCAGCAGGAGAAACCGCGCCTTCAGGAGGCACCTGCCCCGCGGGGCCTGCAGCCCAGCCGCTCCCGCGGAAACTGCTCCACTTGGTACCTCCTCACCGGGAGGAAGGGGCTTCGCTTGGTAGCCGGAGCGCGCCCAACCTCACCTTCCTGGCAGCAGGTCCTGACACATCCGCACTCCAGATTTTTCCAATTTTCCTACAGCAGTGAACAGAGGACAGAGCAAAAAGGCAAGAGTTGAGTAAAGACAAGCAGGAGGATACTCTGTATCTTCAGTCTAAAGCATTCATTCATTCATTTTCATTATTCATTTATTTATTTTTGAAAAGATATTTTGAAAGGGATAGGGTATCTCTGAGCAACCCTACAGAATCTGCTTAAGAGATATCAGCAAAGGAAAAGGCTGGTTTGCAGTTTACAGCGCTGCTTACTGTTTCAAATATTGTAAACATTGGACAACTGCAGGATTAATTTTGCAGAAGATATGAGGAGGTGGCTGTTGGAACCATGTGGATTGCTGGCTCATGGTTTGCTGTGTCTAATGTATCTATATATGTATATAAATATACATAAAGCTATATCTGGACAGCAAGAAAAAAGCTTCTTTGTGACAAAAGAAATGAAAAGAGTCCTTTTTCAGCCCAATCAACTATCTGGTCAGCTCATTGTCCTGTTTTAGAAATGAGTCAGTCAGCAAATGGGAACCTATTGAAACTGTATTCCATACACCTGGAATTCAGAATGGGTTAAAATGCTAATCCATTATTAAAGCTTCTAGAAATTGCAGTAAATGCAAGTAGCTAATGCATTTTGTAAGTTCAGCAGCGTTTCCCCAGCGGGCAGCAGGGACAGTCGCCGGGTCGGGGCGCCCGCGCTGGGTTCAGGTGACTCTGGCGACGAGGCGACCGCTTGGCAGGGACGGCGCCCATGGCAGGGTGCGTCCTACGGGTGTTTCCCCCGTAGGACATCTACCACAAACAGCGTTTGCTGTTCAGTTTTAAGTACCGCTCACGCATACACAACACAAAGAAACACACAACTGAGCTTCAAAATGAAGATTTATTCTTCGATATAAAAGCTAGCAGCAGCAAAAAGGACAGCACGTTTGCTTTCAAGATTTTTTAGTTGCATACAAAAAAACATTAAATTCACACTATTTACAATCAATCTTTACAATCCTGAGACAAAACCCAAAATACACTCAGCAGAGAGCAAAATACGCTCTCCCTTTCTGGCAAAACGCTGAGCTTGCCAAGACCAAGATGACTCGGGTTGGACATCAGAAAAATATTCCTGAAGAGTAATGCACTGGTAGAGCAGCAGCGTTGCGCTGTCATTAGGTAGGCATGTTGGAGGAATGATGTGGGCCCAGGGAGAAAAGCGAACTAGACCCCTGGAGGTTCCACACGTGGCCCAGCAACACACAATATGGAAAGGGTGTTAATAAATACGGATTTCATATTTAAAAGATTGGGCTTTTAAAAATCATACAAAAGACAGCTATGCAAGTCACTACAGAAAATCTCTGTATTTTGGCTTTAATATAGAGCAATCATTTTGTAAAATGAAAGGTGCATTTTTGGCACATTGAAACTAATAATATGAATTAAGTATTTACTACTATTAAAATGGTTACTTGACACCATTCCTTCTAGCTTTACTGAGGAAAAAACAGTATTTGCATGAAAGTCTCTCCTCCTGGAGTCATAACCAGTGATGGACTATATGCAAACATATACCACAATACTGTTAATTCTAGGGTTGATAAAAAATTGCCAAGTTCAAACAGAAAGGACAACTGAGTTCTTTAAAGAAGTTGTTAGCTGCAGCTGGCAAAGCAGTTCCATATTCCCCACCCGTGGAAGTCCCCGCGCTGCAGCAGGCTGCTGGACATGGGGCTGAGTGCTGACAAATACCACAGGGCAGTTCCCTGGGGCCCAGGGCCCTCTCTAAACACCACTGAGAGCTGCTGGAGACGGGGCTGCGGGAGATGGAGCTCAGCCTAGCGCAGAGGACTTCATCTCGTTTCACCCGCGTGTTGTGCTAGCCACAGCTAACAAAACAACCTGAGTTTATGCTCCCTGCAAACTTCTCCAGCCCACAGTCATAAACCTGGAAGCTGTTTGAGAACCGGGACATCTGGATGTACCCTCAATGTTGGCTCAAACCGCCCCTCTCCCACCGACTTCCAAGGTTTACTACACGGCACGGAGGCAACGGCTCTGCTCAACGTAACGCTCAGGGCCTTCTGCAGCTACGCAGGGGCAGCTTCAGTTGTTATTCTTGGAAGAGCTGCAAGAAGAGGTTAGATACGTGTGTGCATGCTCCCTAGTATGAAACACCTAAGCAGTGAAACTCAAGCACAGAGTAACAGGGCCTTTCTGTAACACAGAAATACCTTCCCACCTGCCTAATTCTTCACGGGTTCATCCTTTGTGTGATACTTCTGGTCAATCCTGACAATACCTACCTGTAACTGCATCCTCTCACTCACAGGGCTCCACATGCCTTCAAAGATCCAGGGCACAGCAATGTACAATGCAGCATGGGAAAGGGAATCAGAAAAGGTCACTTAGTTCTAAAACCTACCTCTGCCCCCAATCAGGCAAAAGGCATTGCTTCTTTTCCAGAAAGGCACCAAAAATCCACAGAAGAAAGCTATCCAGAATAGAAATCACTTTGTGAGCTCATCTATTCACACAAGCCTAATAGGGTGAATCTTGCTGAATAGTTTGCACAGAGAACAGTACTAGATATTAGAGATGCAAAGTGCAAACTAACACTAAATCTAACATTTCTAAGCATTTACCTAAGTCCGACAGGACAGTTTGGAGGCAGACAACCAAAAGGAGTGGTTGCTATGGCTAATCCCTGACATTCTTCAGGAGCAGCAACATTTTTTCAAATGGAGATGTCAAAAAAAGATGCTGGTTGCCAGAAGAATTACTCCTAGTAGTGGTAATGAAAACAGTTACTCAGCAAATTAACATACAATTAGAAACGTTTTCAAGAAAACAAAAACCCAACAAAAATACTTTCTAGTATTCTAACTCTCCCTGTTACAGAACGGCCGCGCGTCTCCTCAGCAGGCGCACGGCTAACGTGCAGCTCAGCGGCGCTCCACACTTCAAGCTCATTTTGGTTTTCACAGCCTTCTCACAGAGAGAGGCTTCCTGCCCTCCTGCTGTGGGGATACACACGCACTATCAGATCCAGGGCCTCCACCAGGTGCTGGGAGCTCAACCCAGGATGCAGTACAGCAAAAGTTAGATGGTCCCATTAGACTTAAACCTAATTCAAAAACACATCCAAGTCAGTTAGCACATACTAAAATCTTTTTAACTCTGCCTTCTGTTATAAATTTCTGTTGCAACATTTGCCTATTTGATTTGTGTCTTTTTTTTTTCTCCTTCTGTGAATTATGAAAATGCTGCTAGGAGAACTACTACAGTCCTGTGAGTAAGAAAGGAAAGAGCTTTTTTTCTTGAACCCTTCGGGTGCTGTACACATATTGCTGCAGTTAATGTTCGATAGGTGCAGGAAAGAAAGCAGGTCAGCGGTTCCTATAAAAACTAACTTCATTTTATGAGTATTCATACCAGCATGACACATGAGGACGAAAGTACTATAACACCTGTTTTCCTTCAACAACGTTTACTATAATATGCACAATTTATGAGCTTTTCAAATACTTATGATACACCCATTAAAAAGTATCCTTTAAAACAGATACTTCTGTAAAAAAAGCATAGAGACACATCACCTTCTGTCCAAAGAATTTATGTAATCGGACATTAAACGAACTTCTTTCAATAAGGATCAGTCAGACAGCTGAGACAGGAGTTTTGAAGAATGCAGCTTGGTTACACAGCATATCTAGGCAAGCCAAACTGATGAGGCTAAACACAGATAATAGTTTTTTTGTATAGTCTTTCACAGAGTCACCGAATTTGTGTTTTGAAGGAAATAGATTTACTAACTGAAACATAGAAAGTAGTAGTCCTCCAGTGCACCCTTCCGATTCCAGAACAGAACGAGGCATATAGCTGCTGCTTCTGCATGGATCAGGATATTTTAGAACTTTTAAATGTTAATAATACGATCAATCCTGTCCACGTTCTTCAGTAATGCTGTTCTTCATGAGTTCTGGTTCAATATTGCAGCTATCCTGGTTGCTCGGTGGGCCTGTATGCAACCACGGGCCGTTCTTCACCAACATCTATCAACATATCTATTGGCACGTGAGGCTTGTCATAGCCCGAAAACTTGAGCGTGCTGCTTGGATGGACTGTTTGTTGTACTTCTGTGGTAGGAACCTCGGCATCTGAACAGTTACTGCATATCTCTGTCTGGTTATTGTCAGAAGGGAAATAACTCCCTCTCCCTTTATGATTTTGTTCATCATCAGAGGACACCTGCCCTGTGCTTTCCTGCACAGAAACCTCTCCTGAGTTGCCTTGTACCTCTGTCAGGAAAATAGAAGACGCTCCTTCGCTGGAATTCTCAGGATTAGTGATTCCTTCCTTTTGCTCTACCTTCAGCGGGTGCACTTCTTCATCAGCTGGCGACGCTGGCTCATCTGGCATGAGACTGACCACAGAGTTGCATTTTGTCTCTGGTTTTGGTTCTAGAAATCTGTTTGTGTTTAGGTTTCTTATCACACTAACCTGAAATGGAAAAAAAGTAAAAAACAACAAATAAAAAAAACTTCTATTTTTGTTCAGGTTACTAAACGTTTATTATATAAATTTAATTTTATTACGGTGATTTCCAACAGAAGTCAGCGAAATGAGACTCTGGCAGATTCACTAGCCTCTGGCTATTTATCCAACACTTTGATTAATACTTTTAGGCAAGCTCTCAAAAATGTTTTCAGTGTGCAAGTACATGGCAAGGACCAGCTCCATGTCATAGGTGTAACCTTCACCTGTTCAAATGACCTAAAAATACTATTTAAGCTCACAGTGGCAAGGAGAGCAGCAGAGGAAAAAAGAAAACCCAACAACAACACCCAAAGAGCACTCTTCCTTCTGAATGAACAACCTTTTCAAGCCTAGACATACACACGAGCATAACTTTTAATGAGTATAATTTTCCAGCACTGTTTCAACTAAGAGAATACACCTTCCAGGACAGATCCCTAAAATTGTATGAGAAGTTTAAAACAGTCCTGCCAGTCACATCTATGCTGAAGCCTTCCTGGTTGTTTCTGCAGGATTATTAAGCACTCCACCAGTACTGCAATGGGATGTTTCCCTTTGAAAACTCCACTGCCATCAAGCCCTTCAGGAAACAGGCTTCAGCTTGTTTTAAAAAGACATGCTTCCAGCCCGCATCATTTTTTCAGATTTACTTTTGTTTGGTGCTGGGTTTTGTTTTCTTTTTAAGATATTTTCAACAATGTGTACAAAAAACAATAGGGTAAGTTTTCAGCTGTGCTGTCCCCTAAAGCTAGCATAAAGCTTAGGGAAAACAGGACTTTTCAATTCAAGAGTTCTTTTTCAAATTCTGTAATTCACTAAAGGTACAAAGTATAACCTCCTATGGACGAACTAAATTCTTGTAAGAGGTATACAATTACTGTTTTTTTAGATATTTTATTGAATACTTTGACTAGAAGTCATTGGTTGGGTCAAACCTGAAAGGGAAGTATGTAGCTACAGTGGAAAAAATGGTGGGGAAAGCATAACATGGCTTAAGAAAAACTCTAAATAGGCAAAAAGAACCTCGCATTTTGTACTTGTACAGACTATTCCATTAAAAACAAACAAACAAAAAACCCAAAAGATAAAAACTAATATCAAAACAACATCAAAACCACTATATTCCATGAAATGAATTATTTGTAATCTGAGTTTTACAAACAGCTGTGTTACTAGGACTAGGGCGAGATGACCTCTTTGAAAGTCGAGGTGTATCACTGGAAACTAGTAAAAGTGGCACTAAGGTGTCTCCGTAGTAGTCAGAATACGCCACACTGCAACATAACGGCCCTTCAGAAAATTAATATCCAGAGAGAACCATGGTGGTAGTCAATATATGGGAACAATCAATATACCAGATAAAGAATATTCAGAGTAATTTTACATGAGCACAGTTGGGAACTACCCATACTTAGGAAGCTGATGATAAAAAGGTAGCTGTAGGAAACAAAATCAACAAGGTGAAGATACTTAAAAGCTAATGATGAGTTATTAGGACTGAAGCTGTACTTGAAAAAAATCTAATCATAAAGACTCAGCATGTTTCCATATATATGTCATTTACACTATATATGCCATATACACATACACCTATACTCATCTCGAAGGGACCAGAATCTGTGGCTTTGTGGAGTAGTAAAAAAATCTTCTCCAATAGTCACACAATAAATGACAGGAGAAGATAATTCCCTATTTAAGTTAGAATACTTTAAGAATATGAAATAAAGTTGAATTCTATACAAAACATGGCTAAAAGCTGCATTTACAGCAGTTGTAATCTTCCTCTCCTCCTCAACGCCACATCCACTACACTACAGCATAAACAAACAAGAAATCAGACCTAAGCACAGGACTGCTTTAAAAATTAACACATGGCCTTAGATTCATATTTCTAAAATGAGTTAGCAAAAATGCCTTATTTTTCCCCTACACAGTTTCTGCATTTCACTCTGCTTCCTGGCAACTCTTACAAAGACGAATCCTGAAGATACTGTAATCTATCCAAATACACTGAAAATTTCATTTCAGGTCTTGCTTCCAACTCACTGGAAACTGTAAGTTTCTGCCTAAAGTAATACAGGGTAGACACTCTTATTTTCATCCACAAAACAAGGAAGGCATTGGAAGAAAAATACTTCACAGGCTTCCTGGTATCAAAGTTTCTTTAAGAGATGCTGAATCACAATTTACATAAGCTAGCAATTCACATAGTCCTTTCTAGTGTCAAAGTGAAGAATCAACAGATCCTCCTGCATTAAATCTGAATGCCACGCAGAGCAACTCCAGTAAAAAGTGTAATTAAGATATGGGTTACTATTTGAAGAAAAATATTTACTGTAGGTAAGTTAATATTTGCTTTTGTGTACATAACACAACATTGGTAAATTGAGAGTCGACAGGAGAGTTTAAGCTCTATCTTAGCAGTACTTCCTGGCACGATGTTGTGATCTGATATTTTAATGTCTCCAACATGAACACCTCAAGTTTCAGGTCTTTCACCATCTTAATAGCCTAGAGTCTCCCCCAGGTGGAATCCAAACTCCAGGATACATATAAATGACACATCCAAAGAAGAATAAGTAGCTGTCAAGGTACTCAACAGGTCCTGCTTCCACTCTGTTTTCTGAGGGTTTGTCCTAGCAATTCCCAGAAGGACCTTCTGGAATGACTGAAGATGGTGGTGGGAGGAATATCTTGGAATACTTTTAGAGAGATAACTGAATGGCTCATTAATAACATCTACACTGCTGATGACATCAGATATACCTGTGTCCTCCACCGGGTCAATTAGCACGACAATGTTTTGTAAACAACGTGCTCCATTTCACTAGATTCATCTTCCCAGTAGGATCCCTCCTACTACAAACGGGGTGTTTAGCACATTTAAACTAAGAAACTCTTATGAAAGTAACCACTCAATGTTGTTCACCTTGTAAGACAGTCACATTCTGGAAGCAAGACCTGAAATGACTGACACGCTATTTCTGGGAGTCTTAAAAAGCTTACAGAGGACAACGTGGAGGTTCCAGATCTAAACGGCAACAGAATTTTCTCTTTGACCATATGAGCAGTGAGGAAGCGCGTGATGGCTGCTTTTTTTCTGATGATGTATTTCAACTTGCTGAAAGTCACTCAAATGATTTAAGCAGACACTAAAAAGCACTAAAATATTAAAGTTATTAGGAAACAGATCTCTGGAAGGCAGTTGTCTCCTCACCTAGCCTAGTAACATACAGGGAGACTCAACTGATGAGTTTTTTTTTCAGACAAGCTCAGGTAAAGCACAGTAGTGATGACCTGTATGGAAAGACAGTGACAGGCTCTCAAATCTAAGGCATCTGAAGAGATAGTTCCCATGTAATTCTTATCACCTGCATTGAAATTATGCTTGTGAGCTTTTCCATTCAGATCACAGAATTCCAAGGAAATGGACCAAAGGTAGGGGCCTTTACAAATAGTTTTAAGTCTCATTCAATTCCTTAAACAAGGCACAAAGTGGAATGTGAACCAGTCTGCTTAAGCATTCCTATAGACTTCAATCAAAACCTTCACATAGCAGGGAGGAACCTGATATACTGGAACATCTAGGAAGCATTAGGTAATATACAGCAAATTGAGAATGGGCAATGAAACAAGTTTCACCAAGATAAGCTAAAGTGTGAACCTGGAGCACACATGGGTAAACTCACTACAATTCTGTAGCACCCATTCTCCTCATGTGATGCTTTTTCCCTAATCCCTTCGATGGGATATTGCAGTAGTTTTGGAAAACCAGGGCAATAAGGCATCTACTAGTCACAGCTTAGAGGCATTCTGGATAAAGCTATCTTTGGCTATAATAAATTGCCTTCACAAAACTGTGTGTGTACAAAGAATACAACATTATGCATTCAGATAATTACACATTAGCATGAAAAAGAAGCTGAAAGTCACCAGTATCTCCCTTTTCATTCAGACATGCTTGGATGGTACCTGGGCTGAGGAGCTGCTTAGAGAAGCGCGCTGCTTCTGACAGACTAAGAGCTCCCTGCAGACAAGGCTGAGCAGCTGCTGACTCCTTTTCCCCGTGACTTCCCTCTGTCTCCACCACATTTCCTCGAGTTCTTTCCTCTCCCTACAACATGGCTACTTTTTTTTTTTTTTTACTCCACATGTTACTGTAATAACGTTACATGATTAGCATTATCACAACATTACCACAAAACGAAGACACGTCATGCATTTCCCTGTCACTAGAATGAAAGAAATGCATCTATGTGCACTGCATCTATGTGCATTTCCAAATGGGCCAAGTAATGTTGCTTCAATTAAAGAGAGACTGAATTCTAACCCTAAAATAAATAGATTACAGACACTGGGACAATCTTAGATGGCATAAATTCTAAACATCTACAACAGCATAGTAAACAGTGAGATAGCTAAATTTTAACCAAGCAGCTTTGTCTATCTGGAAAGTAAATATTAATATTAATAATTATACAGAGAAGTCTGAACTTACCAAAGACTTAGGCAGCTTTATGTTCTTTTTCTTTAATTTCTTGTAGCCATAAAACATACCCAAAAATAGACCAAAGATGAGGATAACACCAACCACAATTACAACATTTGTTGAGCCTAGGAGGTTGGAGAAAAAATTGTCAAGTTTGGAAAATAAACCATTGCTGTATCATTTAGAATAACTTTAGAAACTAAAATAGCTCAGAACTGTTAGCTGCAATATATGAATGTATCAATTTACCACCTTTCTCAAGAACTTGCTTTATAAAACTCTATATGAAAATTATACTGACACACAATTTCCAAGCCATGACCACAATAGTGTTTTTATAGAGATAAAGGAATTTTATAAATAAGTTTTCATTCCTTAGAGATGACAAGTGTGACAAAAAAATGTCCATGTGATAGTATATTAACTGACATAAGAATTACTGTACATAATCTACATCTAATGAAACTGTTAAAAACACAGTACAGTTAATTCCCCCAAGCATACTGCTCTTCTTCCATATAAAGAAAGAACACATTCAAAGCTACCAATTTCATCTCTTTTCTTTAATCTTTAATGAAATTTTGGTCCACATTAAGTGACACTAAGAAGTCTGAAAGAGCTTTTCAGAGATACTAAGCTGGGTCATTAGCTGCCTTTGTCCTCTGGAGGGATCATCTTAAACAAGATGATAGCTTAATTTTTTTAAACCACAAATTTATTGCTACTTCAAATTCATGAAAGCCTACTTGCATTTTCTTTGGAGATATAATTCAGCAAAAAGCAATTTGTTACAAGATGGATGTTCTGCTTCCGAAAACCCTGCAACTCACTGAATGATCTGTTTCTCACTTGCTAATAACTCCAATGATCATGTAGAGTTGAAACAAATTCCAGAATTCCAACGAAGCAGGAAAAGCTTCCTCCCCACCCCAGCGCAGGGTCGCTTGAAAATGATGTATTATCTTTATAAGTTTTTAGAATTGGGAGCATATTTGGCAAGAATTACTATGTTTTCCCTTTGTTGATACTCTCCTAGGGGAGAAGCGAGCCTACAGCTATATCACAGTCAGAACACTTGAATGAATCTCTGGTCAGACTCTATATGACAGCTCTTCAGTTACACTCTTCAGTTACATTCTTACTAGATTTTTAGAATTATCTTACTCAAAGTCAGCTTGAGAGGAATAGGAATGCAGCTTTCTTCTGATGGGGCACCAAGTATCAGATCATTATAGAAACTTCCCTTCGCTGAAACACAATAAATGGAACCTTCAGAAGAAATTGGGATGTCTATGCTACATTTCTTTAAATTACAATCTTCGGGAAAGAATTCCTCTTTGCTCTATTAAAAAAAAAAAAAAAAAAGTTGTATTACATCATTTGACTAAACACAACAAGATAAAAATTACAGTATCTTCCAACACTTAAAAACATAACAACATTATTTGATAAGACATATATATGCCTCGATAAAGTTGCGAATTTTTTCTACTAGCGATTTCCAAGAGTTTTATTTGCTACCTTAAGGAGCCATGTTCGATCAAACCATGGTGCTTACAGCTAACATTTTCAAATATATCCAAAATAGGCACTGTTGATTGTGTAGATTTACATTCTTAATTCACTAAATTAAATTCCTAATTCAATAAAAAAGTACCTGAATATATATGTTAATTTTACATTAACTATCCATAGTATAAACAAACATATCTGCTATGAGTTTTCTCAAGTTAAACCTCCATGATTGCTACACAAATGAAGTGGGACCAGTATCTTATGTAGAACAGTCAAAGGGGCACAAATAAAGTTACCAGTGTTTTAACATGCGCGCACAAACAGCACCTCCCTCACTTTTGCATACAGTACATGTAATTAACTTTTGTTATTAGATGTGCATTTGGGCAACTGCCATCTAGACCTCACGTCTCTCACCATAACCCACTTGAAATTTTAGGGCTTCAGTCTGTATCCATAGTCTTATGTTCACTGTTCTTCTGAAAAACACTAGCTTTATGTGTTATTGAAGATTAAAAAAAAAACCCCTACTATTAAAGGGGCAAACTGCCTGTTTGGATATTTAAAACACAAATATTTTAATTTGAAGTTTTCACTTTGAACCATACCTGATTTTTACTGTCCCCCAAGGTCACTGTGTATACGACATCCGCCTTACTGATCCAAGGACAAAGCTCCTCAGAGGGAAATGCAGGTTGGTAAATATCAACGATGATTTTGTCACTGTGCCTTGAGAGATGCAACACAGGCGGTCCTATTTTTACTGAAACACATCATACCTTTTCCATTAGGCCAAAGGTTTTGACATGGTGTTGAGACATATAAACTTGCTATTTACAGTTAAATTACATAAATTAGAGATTTGAGGAGCATATCACATCACGTCTATTATAATGTTTTTAATATTATATAGCTGTAATACTGAGAAGTAATGAAAGCATATGGATACAAGCATGAATCTGCTAATGGAATACACATAACAGATTCTCTAGATTGTCTAGAGACAAGCTACAATAGAGAATTTTACTGCTGGAAGAAAACCCACAATTTTCCCAATTTTCCTTCATATATATATAAGTCCACAACAATTCAACAACTCAGTTCACTGACAACGGGGTGGGGGGGGGGAGGGGGAAGGGAAAGGAGAACCAAACTCAAAATATTGCCAAGTCCCATCCATAAACCATGCTCAACTAAAAATGAGAGTCACAAAATGAAAAAGGCCAACTGAAAAACTAAAAAAATAGTGTCTTGAACAATAGGAAGGAAGTTCGGAAGTGTGATTTCCTGTGCAATGGCCTTTGTGAATTGTTGCGGTCTAATGATCTGACTGAACATGTGTGTCTCATGTTCCATGGAAACTTTACTTTCCGAAGAAAGACCCATTTCCTGCAAACTGTGGAACTTAGCATCATTTCCATGGCTTCTGTTTCTTTGGCAAATGGTTGAAACAGACCACTGCTTCCAAGACATGAGCGCACTGGGTGAAGGAAGGGCAAGGAGAGGGAATCAGACAGGCAAACCAGGAGACATACACTATTCCCACAACTCCAGCAACGCAGAAATCCAACTCTCCCTGATGCACAGCCCAAGCTGTGCTTGGTCAGAGACAGCCTCATGGGCAACCTCCTGCCTGAAAGTACTTGCCAAGTTATACAGAAATCTCAGACCTTCCTCACTTTTGTGGGGCTTCCCACTTGGTGCTTCCCACATACTGCTGGGGCTCACACCAGTTTTGGAAAGGTTGGCTTGAAATCTGGACGCACAATTTCCACAGCATTAACGTTAAAGCGCAGTATTCTTACCAAAACAGCCCAAAGCACTCAAATGAAGGGGAGCAGCTGTTATTTAACCAGATACAGATACTACAGATACGTCTGTAATTTCTAGGTAATATCCATAGTGGTCAGGGAAGTGCAGTGCCAAGACCACACTCAGTCAGAGGGGCTGCAGTGCCAAAACATCACCTCACTGGCCGCTTGAGTACAACCTCCACGGCACCAGAGCTCCCAGCAGCAGTCTGCTACTGCGCTTGCCAGCAGACAGGAATGTGGGGAAGATGCACAGAGAACATCACTAGCACCATTTCCCTGCTTTTAAAGTTCTGAAAAAATATTCAAATGCCACAGTGGGAGGACAAAAAAAAAAAAAAAAAGTCCCTACAGAGGTATAACTAAGAAATTCCTACTGAACAGCACTCATGCTTTGTTTCAGCCTGGACTCCTGAGCTTATGATATTCCCAAATGAGACATACTAATGCACAAGAGATAATTTTGTTTTTTAAAATATTGGGAAAAAATACAAGATTTGGAGTATGGAACTTACCATGCTGTTGCAAAATAAACTCGCTTGATTCAGCATACTCAGATTGTTCTGACTCAACAGCAGCTTTAACTCGAAGCCAATGGGAGGAAAAGGGGTCTTCTATTTCTCCCGAGATATCACAAAAATGAGCCGAAATGTTCACACAACTCAAGATGGTCTTATAAGTACCAAGACTGTAAAACAGATCAAATATTAGTTAATACAGTTGCCACTTATTGTGCAGTATGTTGCCTATGATGAAATATCTGACAAATTTTGCCTTAATTTACACTTAGGAAACTTATCACTACATGACTTCACCGAATAGAAGGAAAAATGTTTATCGTACACTGATTGCTTTTATATGCTTCTGGAAAATATGAGGTACAGGAAATTATGAAAAAAAATAAGAACTTACTTGTAAGGTTTGATTTCTACTGTAAAATAAGCAGTTTCAGAAATAGCTGGGTATTGCCAGTACAGGAAAGTCTTAAAATTTTCAGCTGTTATTGTAAGTTGTGTTGGCGAAGGCACTACAAAGAAACAAAACAATCTGGCTTAGTCAAGCAATGGAAAAGCCAAGTATTCTTCTGAGTTATTTGGAGAAGGCAACCTGCTAGAAATGACTGGAAAAATTAGCCATAAAAAATTCCAAATATTTCTCCCAAAGAGGAATTGATTTGCTAGCAGTATGAACACAGCAGAGTCTTGCAGGCTGATTTTCTATCCTTTTGTCTTTTTCATCCTATCTGCAACCCAGAACCTCAGAAAACCCACACTGATTGAAAGTAAGTCCCTGAGTCCCTGCCTGGTTCATCAGCTGTGATGCTCACCTGGCTATTTTGGTATTACAGCAGGACAGATAACATGAATTTAGTGAAGTTGGAATAGCTCAGCTCCTCCAGATCTACCTTTCTCTTTGAGAACCTGCTGAGAAGCAGGAGAACCAAAGCTGCAGAACCCAGGGCCTGCTCCAGGAAAGCCCTGCTGCCTCCTGACTCAGCCTTGCCAGAATGAATTTCAGCTGGGGAAAGCCTGGATTCAACATGAATTTTGGGCAATAACATTTCCACATCTCCTGTGGTATCACTTAACGAGCTGTTATAATAAAATACTAACATTCATAAGGAACACAAACTGTGAAAATACCATGTAGTTTTACATGGTGAAGTGCATTTAGTAAATAACATAAAAGGTGAGGGTAGTAAATGATACAGGAATAAAATAAATAAATAAATAAAAGAAGACATTTCTGTGCTGAGCACCAGCTGGGTTGAGGGGAAGGTCAGCTGCAAGGGAAGGACAATTTCACAGACTGTAACTATTGAAGGCTGACAGCCTACAAAAGAAGGGGAAAGTGAAAGTCCCTTAAACAATTTTAGTCATCATTTTGCTTCTTAATGTCTGGTCTGGCCTCCTTAATACTCTCTTACTATAACTTTTGTGAAGTGTTGGAGGTTAACTCTCATTTGACCTGCTCAACAACACCGTTCACAAAGCGAGCGCTCCAACTTCACTCTGTGATAAATCAAGGAGGGAAAGTTCATGTCTTGAGAACAAGACCACAAAGACAGCATCTGACAAGGAGCCATACATCGAGGCTGAGATCTGCTACTAACCACGAAGTTTTTATACATGCAATACGCCTCACTGCAAATGGCGCTGTGGTTTAGTTATTTTCTAATATGTACAAAAGTGGTATTTCAGTTATTGGAAGACAGGAACACAATCATCAAATTCTCAACCACAAGAAAAAAAGGTGTTAAGTTGATAGAAGAGGTGTCAAAGCACACAGATGCTACACTGTAAAATACTTCACTTAACAGTAAAATATTTGATATAACAAGCCTTAGAAAATGTTACTGTAGTGTACTATTATTTACATAATTGTATTTATATAAGGCTACAATTGACAAAAAGTAGAAAAATAAAAACCCAGAGAATATTAAAACTTCTCCTAGAAGCTTGGCTTGGCTCCTTGGCAAATATACAACTAAAAGCCAGGCAGATAAAACTACACAGCATTTTGCTTTCCCCTCCCTCATTCTCTTGTAGCCCCATTGCCCACTAGGCAATTTCAATACCTGGTTAGGAAATGCTATTCAAGACAATTCTTCAGTTTAAGAATCTAAGCTCTTCTATAATACTTATCACTAAATTATGCTAGCAAATGCATTTAAACCTATGCAAATATTTTCCCCACTCCTCCATAAGAGAAATGATCATTCTTCCCATTTTACACTTGGGATATAAAACAGAGGAAAACAATGTTTAGAAGTATGTTACAAGCTTGTTGGTATTTCTTCAGACTTGCTCTGATTTGTATTTCTTTGTTGTAGACTTGCCAGATGTCTGTTTTTCACAAAGGCAGTTTGGGTTTGCGAATGCTGAATGGGTTAGAGTTACCATTAAAACATGCAGCTATATCCGCAGCACGGCTTGTGCGAAAGCAGGACATTCGGCCAACACGTGCTGAGTATCTTGGCCATCGAGTGTGGGTTCCTGAGGGGATGCAACTGCTGCGAAGGGGTGGGAACCAGGGCCTCCACCAGCAGCGGGGACTTGTGTGCTTGGCTTTAAACACATCTAAGCAACTGCTGGTTTGGGAATGGGGTCCTTTCCCTATCTCCTGTCTCCTCCCTCATGTCCTTCACATGAGCTGGTTCCTTCCATTAAGGCTAAGTTCTTTCGTCATCGCTATATTGGTGTAAGAGAAACCCAGTTTGGAGGATTGCTAAGCTCCAGGTTATTGAAGCTTAACAAACTGTCTGGGCAAAACAAACAAAATCTGGGTCTGTTCAGCCTGGAGAAGAGAAGGCTGAGAGGGGATCTAAACAGTGTATATAAAAATCTCAAAGGAGGGAATGAAGAGGATGGTGCTCGCCTCTTTTCAGTGGTGGCCACCAACAGAACCGGAGGAAATGGCCAGAAACTGAAGCACCAAAAGTTCCACAGGAACTTAAGGAAAAATTTCTTAACAGTGAGGGTGACAGAGCACTGGAACAGGCTGCCCAGAGAGGTTGTGGAGTCTCCTTCTCTGGAGATCTTCAAAACCCGCTTGGACGCAGTCCTGTGCCACATGCTCTAGGTGACCCTGCTTGAGCAGGGAGGTTGGACTTGATCATCTCTAAAGGTCCCTTCTGACCTTAAGGATTCTGTGATTCTATGATTCTATGTCTGAACACTGAGTGAGCAAAAGACTATTCAACCTAATCCTCTATCTCCCACCATGTTTTTTTTAACATGCTCCTTCACTACACTACAACGCCAAGACTAAAAAACACAAGAACTCTTGCAGCAAACAAAGCTTCCTCATCAAAGGATTGCTCTCCTCATGAACTGTATCATCTTCTAGCCACCTGCAATGCCACCACCAACATGCCAACATCCCATACTGCCATGACACTGCAGGTTGGCCTTGATCACTTGCAAGAACAACCATACACACATACAGTCAAGCTCACCCTTCCCATGCCTACTTCTAAGCTTGCTTTCAATGACCAAGCTGATCAAGCTCTCTCTCACAAACCAGTTACTCCTGTTCCTCAGAAAAGGCTTACAGGATACCCTTCAGCATGACCTGAGAAGCTGAAATTCAAAACTCTACTCAGCACTGAGAGCCAGAAGCGATACAAGTTTTATATCGCACCTCCTGTCATCTCATTAAAGCCTCTCCATGTTTCACAGGCCAAAAATGACTTGTGTTTCTTTTTCTAAGAAATGTCTGCTGGTTATTTCTTCCACTACCTCACTTTATCTCTACATGCAGCAACTGCCTTGTCTCCCAGGTGGTCCAATGGATATGCAGTAAATTCAATATAAAGTGCTTTCAGCTTGCATTTATCTCTGAGGTTTGCTGGTAGGCAGGAAAGGCAGGGAGAAGGCAGGGGAGCTCATCTGCTTTTCCTAATTACACTAGTCATTACCATGGAAGATCATATCTCTATCCATAAAAACCGCCTAAGCAGTTTGTATCACAGAGTTACTTCTCAGGTCATTTAGTGGCTCACAGAAGCTTGAGGTGCAGAACTTAGTGCTCAGCACTACAGCAGATGGGACTGCTGGGGGTCGAGGTTCCTCCTCCCATCGGCCCCGGCTACCTGTGGGTCATGGAAAGCGGGAGCTTCGCGACACCCCTTCCCAGCCTGATTCTGCTCCAGCATCCAGAGTGCAGAGAGCACCTGGCAGACTTATGGAGCACTAATGTACACAGATGTTACTGCTATCTACTACTACTGAAATTATCACAACCGTTTATCTGAACAAGGTTTTACTAAGCCATAAGGCAACAGTAACTTCTTAAGGGTGCTACGTTGCTGCGCTATGCTATTTAGTAGGCACAACCAGGGAAAGATGATAGTGACACAACGATAATCTTTAAACATAAAACTCTCAATTTATAATAAATTTAATCAGCTCGATAGCAGCTGCACCCAAGGAGCACACTCAAACAGTGAGGAACTCAGCATGGGAAAAATGCAAAAAAAAAAAAAAATCATCAAATCACAATACTGGGAGTTTGAGGAGGTCACGTTTGCTTCTAGTTCAAATAAAGTGATTTCCACCCTCCCAGTATGCCCGATTCACCCTGCTGAGTGTGACGGCAGGGCTGGCTAACAGAAAAGCAACGGAGACTTCAGGAAGAGTAGATTTGCACAGAGGCACAGAAATGTGCCACAAGCGATGGGCAACAGGGAGCTACCCCAGACACGTATCTATGCCCAGAGGAGAAGGGAATAAAGGCAGAAGGCAGGAGGAAAGACCAGTCTCTCTCTCTCCTCTCTCTTTTTTTTTTTAATGATTAGAAAAAAAAAGGAATATGGAAACTAAACATGCTTGGATTTTGAGGACAAAGAACTTAAAATTTGGAAAGTAAAGGTAGGAAAACGGAGGAGTAAAAGCAAATATAAGAAAGATCACAGAATAAACTATAAATTGAGCATTCAACAGAGCAGATCACAAGCAGAAAAGCAATCACTCGGCTGATCTCAGCAAACTCAACAAACTCACACAAGGATCAGTGTTAAGCAACACGCACTGCTCACAGAGAAATACGAGTAGTTGCTGATATATAAGCAGCCCAGACTATATAATTATAATGAATGCTCCCATTGACAGTCAATAAATGTGACGTGGCCTGTGGCGTGGGAAAAAATCCCACATATTAATCTCAATATGTGTTCAATTAAAATACTAAATTTCTAGAGACACTTGCCTCTTGGGGGACTGTTACATAGCAGACAGGAAGGAAATGCATGCGGGAGGAAATATTTTGAGATTAAAAACCAGATGCTGCTGAAAGGCTTTTGTTTTACTCCACATATCTGCTGCTTGGCTTTAGCCTGATAAGAAATAAGCTTTTTTTTTTTTTTTTTTCTTCATTTTTCAAAGTAATGGGAGCAAGCGCACATAGCTGCACAGTCACAACTGCTTTCTAAACACTGAGGACGGAAGACAAGCCTTAGACAAGTTATACACTGCATATGGCATAGTGCTGGTTCAAAAGCGTGAATCAAAACTTGCTTGCTTGTTCACAGAAGATAACAAACCCAAACAGTCCCGGCTTGTTTGTTCCATTCGCTCTCCTTTATCAGCAGTGCCACTTTGTATACAAACTCCTTCACAAATCTCATCGAGTTCAGAAACACACACATTGAGAAAGATTTCTGTATCTGGATGAAGATTATCTTCTTCACTATATGTATGTTTCTGAAAAATACTGCAGGAAAGACACTTGCAATAGACAAATTTTGGAGCAGCCACAATAAAGCTACCTATAAGTACATTTAGAAATATCTTGTCAGGTGTTTTATATATTTATCTAACATCAAGAGCTGTAAGTCAATGAGCTAGAGGACACTTCAAAGGGGTAAGTGTAAGCATCTCAGACAGGCAGCCTTCTAACCGAAGTTTGTATCCCGTGCCCCATTCTAACACATACTGTTGGTATAAATGCAGAGGGATTTGCTACCACTGATCACAGAAGTGGAATTCATCTGAAGGTGTCATACGCACAACATTTAGCCAGGGGACTCCCCAGGGCAGAGTCTGACACAGCTCCCTCGGGCAACAAACTCAATGAACCAGAGTACCTGCAAGTTCCACATGTCTGCTGAGCACAGTTCAAGTACTAGAAGCACAAAGTGAAGCTTAAAAGGAACGAGTTATGAGAAAACATTTATAAATCAATCTTTTGAACATCTGTTCCAGAGTCTTCTTTTAGGTTTCCATGAAAAACAAATCCCTCTAATTCCAGAGCAGTATCTAGTAGGATGGCAGTTTCAAGCCACTTTACCCTCCCCAGGGTGCCATCAGTACTAACTCCGGTCTGGATTTGCACCAAACGGGCGCTGCGCCATTTAGGCCGGGGAGTTAAAAGGAAATCAGACACAATGCTAAAGTAACGGGCCGCCCTGGGCTGCAGCCCGGGAAAGCAGCGCGTGTCTTCACGTTAGCCCCACGCTCCACCTGAGCCCAGGCTGATGTTTAACGTCCAGCCACTTTCACTGCGTGTAGAAAGGGCGGCAGTTTTGGAGGCTTCACCAAGCGGGCTCTGCCAGCCTGGCCCTGCCACCCAGCTGGCAGCGGGTCCGGCCCGAGGGGCAGAGCCCTCCTGGTGTCGAGCGACTGAAGCAGCGACAGAGCTTGCAGGCCGGCGGACGGGCAGATAAACACCCAGGCGCCAGGAGAGCTTTGCTCCTCCTGCCTGCTCGGCCTTCCTCGGAAAAGCTGTATGAAAAGCTCGCAGGTGCTCGTCTTCAGGAGCTCCCCTTCACTCCCCAGAAAGGAAACTACTCTTGTAATGTGTCTTCTATACTCTGGTAGCACTTCCTGAACAAAGTTATTACACATAAGCTTAAATCACTGTGTGAAAAAAGCAAGCCCGTGTAAAAAATTCTACTAGAAGTTCTCAAAAAGAAAAAAACAACTTCAAAAGAGAAATCTCATTCAATTTTACAAATGAATAAAGAGTTCAAAGACTAGGGGCCAAATACAAAGCTATTTGCTTAAAAAAATGCTTAGTGCATGAAATAAAGATTGGGTAACTTTATAGAATACAGGACCAGGAATGTACGCTTTACACATTCAGTACCTTTTTATTGCTACTATTAACAACAAGCTTTTACATCCGCGTGGCTCAGAGTCAGGACACTAATCCACAGAGCTTTCTTCTTTTTATTATTATTGCTTTTGATAAACATCCCAACATGATTCTACGTGCACTAAGACCGTGGATCACTGTATATACATTAAGGAAAAAAAAGAAAAAAGGAAAAACAAAGAAAAAAGCGTGCACAAGAAAGTTTTTCAAAGCTGCTCTAATAGCAAAATACTGTTCTACCTGTTTCATGACTATTCTTTGTTTTTATAAGAGCTGAAATAGCACTAATACAGATAGTATCTAAATACAGCACTATCATCTCGTTACCTTCTTGCTTGTAGTTGTACAGAGGAACT